CCAGACCACTGCAGTACTTATTAGGCAGAAGTTTTAGCTATAAAGGAGATGGCTGTGTACCTCGATACGCATGCCGTAACGAAGAGTACAATTATCATCTTCAGGCCAGGCGGCCATTCATTAAATCTATGAACACGGTAATGCTGACATCGAAGGTTGTGCAAGAATACCTAGCAGCTCTAAGCGATATTAGTGCCGTATTCAAGGTCAGCCTCATATGGGTTCCGGAACATAGGATATTGAAAGAAATTGTAGGGCGGATAAGCTATCCACGAAAGGCACCAATCTTCCTCCATGTGAAAACAGAGGCACAATTGGGATACTCATGGCAACCTTGAAATTAGAACTTAGAAATAGCAAAACCGCGTATGTGAAGTTGTAGAAATTATTTTCTGGCAGTATATTTCAGGATGAATGGATAAGGATTGAGCCAAGAGCTTGTGTGAGCAAATCCAATTTTTGGCAGCCACTGTCAGTTACGCGGTTTTACAGAATGAAGATACGCGGTTTTGTACTTTAAACGACGATATACTATATGTACATCCGTAACTAGGTTTTGCGTAAAACACTCGTTTAGGTTGACTGAACGCAAACAGCACAACTTCTCAACGCCTTTTGTTAAACCACTATGTCAATGCATATGTATGTATGGATGTGTGTGTACTCAAAATTTGAGAAGAAAAAATATCATTTTACGCAGTTTCAAAAATAAGTGTATAACCTGTTCTGTTAACATTTACATTGCTTTTAACATTTTCAAGTGTTTACGCTTGAGTTGTTGTCACACATTAAATTTATTTAAATATGAATCTATGTTTATTAGTTTCGATTTATGAGAAAACAGGAACAAAATCGACTGGAGACCCACGTCTACTTAGGCATGTAGTTATGTACAACGATCGATTGCTCAGCACAACAACGACCTTACGTTGAATTGATAAAGCAGTCAGATTGACTGTCCGATTAGTACGATTTGCATGAAATTGTTAATATTTTATGTAAATCTCCGTGTAGAAATCGTGTGTGTACTTTATTTACTTTTAAGTATTTTTCACTTTCTAAACGATCAGATTGATGTAAATATGTATATATGTAGGCACTTATTTAAGTATATAAATGTACCTGTATACAGTGAAAACTCACCCAATAAACAGCGTTATTGGAAAGATATAATTCATCAAACAAAGCGAACCTATTTAAGCTAAGTAAATGCCGATCTTAAATATGAGCATATAACCGGGGAAAAAAATAAGTTCAAATCCAGATTGATCGTATACTTTGAACTGAGGAATGGGAGAAAAGTCGTAGGCCAAAAATATAGACCTCTGAGAAATAGTTACATCGTGATGTGCATACTTTTTAACCAAAATAATTTATTTTCAGTCATTTTACTATAATTATTACCGGACAAAAATTGTTTGACAGTCATTGTCGGTTCAATAGAGTCTTCACTGTAGCTAGATATGCACTATAGTGTGTGATATGACAACACTTAATATTTGCAGTTTGAATTAAAGGTGTGAAAAACATGCAAAAAATTTTTAATTAGATTAAAGAATGTTTACATGATGACGTTTACATCATGATATACTACATGTTATAAAAAAGGCTACGGAATTTAAACGTATTTCGAGTTCGAAAATCATTCAACCCTAATAGCCCGAACACAATGAAAATGACGAGCTACAAACCACAGCTGTCAAATTATTTTAACACGTACTCTTATGTAGATAATTATTTTGGCGACGACCGAGCTACGCGACTGCTGTGGTTGTGGCCAGATTAGATCTATTTCCATTTTACTGGCGACAGATAAAGAGGAAGAATTCTTTTATGTCAAACTCATACAAATTCATGATGTCGCTGCCGCTTTCAAAGAAATCATGTCGCCATCGACAAAGCGTTTAGATAATGAAGATGACAAATTGGAAGCTGTGGTCCGTAGCTCGTCGTTTTCAATGTGTTCAGAACTTAAAACTTACACTGTACGACTGTCAAAGAGTGTGCGCTCCTGTCTCAATCATGTTAACAGTCCCAAGTAAAAGGGAAGAATTGATTATTTTTACCGACTTTCAAAGGGCGTTTTATACGCTATATATGCTCATCATACAGTATAGAAAGGTCAAGCGAAAGGAATACCCTCTCTGCTATGAAACGACCAGGAGGAAAAGGCATGGGCTTTACTTCCAATTTCCAGTTGGCGTTAGTTGTCACAGAAAATTTGGAAAATTTTTGGAAGATTGAATACATGAGTAAATATTGGAAACGAAAACTTAAGGGGAAGATATCAAGCCGAGCTCGAAAATGTCTTGAGGTGAGAACCAAGCGACATTCCCCGGAAAGCATTCGACTCTAAGCCACAAGTAAGCCGCCGAGGAGGTCAACCAGCACAAGCATGCAAGAGAAAGCTATAAGACCGTTTATCAGGGTCGTTAAAGAAAGACATCCTCTGTCTAAAGGTGGTTAAAATGTCATAGAATAATAAAACTTTTACCTTTTACTCTTACTTGAACCAATTTTGAATAAGAGGGGATGAGATTTTCCCTGCTAAAAAGAATGTCCAATGTTTGTTTTATTCGACAGAGAATAACGAGAGCGTAACATCGCACGTTTAATAATATAAAGACATATTTCAAAATTTCAATTTTGTGGGAAAACGTTTGATCAATTCAAATAGTTGGTATACAAAAAGAAAGATGAAAAGATCCATATCTTCGCCATTTTTGGGAAGTTTAGTCATCTATTAGGCTAAACATATTCTCCTCATCAAGCTTATTAATTGCATGATGAAATCTCCAAAAGCTTAAATTTTGAATTACATCCCTATTATTAAAAACGGATGCATAAACAAAATTTCAGTACGGTTTGAAATTGAAAAGCGTATTGACTTGAATTTGTTTTCAAATCAGTTTTTTGTTAATGCGGTTTTGGTATATATTACTAAACGTGCGACATATTGATCCAAGTCATTCTTGTTTGATCGGCTTTATATATGTATATCCGATTAGTTTTATAAGGCTGGGATTTTAAAATGAAGCAAAACTTTACGCAAATCTCCTCTGATTGGCAGAGAAGATGCAGGCAGAGAATTTACGATAAAACTATTATTATGTTCCTAACAATAAATTCTCACGCCTAACGAACCTCTAGTATTAGTAAATATTCTTAGCAACAACAACTTTGCGAACCCATATTAGTTCTATACATACAATGCAATTGAATGAATGTTTTGATTTCATTATCTACATCTTAAATGACGAAAATAGCTATTCTTAAAAATAAACCCTAGTCTAAGCAACCGCTTGCAGTCAACTAAATCCCTGTTCAACAAGCATATTATTACATAGAAATATACTAAAGACGCACGTGGAGGCCAGTCAACTTGTAATTGACATTAATTATAGGGAACGTAGAATATTGAACCTACTAAGTTCATTGACAACTGGGGCGTATACACTTATTATTTCAATTACTTATCAAAGCTTAAAATATATTCGATTTAAGTATTGAAGTATTACAAATGGTATTTAATGCTTCACTAAGTTATGGTAGATAAGTATCAGCTGCTAGTTGTTAAATACTTGCGAGTGCTAGAGAAATGTGACTAACGTCAACACTTACACTTGAAAGTTTGAAATTTGCACATACCGATGTAGGTATGTAATAAAGAAATCATCGATAAAATCTTAGTCACAAAGTGATTAAGAAGTTAATGGATACAAATGGATCTCGTGTAAGCTTTTGTGGTTTGTAGTTCGCCTACGTTGTCGGAAAACGCAACAAAAATTAATGAACATTTAAAAGCAATACCATTAGGCGATGCAGCTAATTCATTCAATTAAAATCAAAACACACCAGGAACAGCAAGTCTTTCAGACAAGAAATACAACACTTTTAACTTTAAAGACTTGCTTTTCGGAGTTATTTTGTGGTAAAGGTAAAAAAAAACGCCGTAAAAATTCAATTTCAATTTATTTTGTAAGCATTTTTTAGGAGCAAAACAGAAAAGGCATAAATATTTACCACAAACGCTGGGCAGAAAAACCGCCCTGAAAGACACACATTGCAATGCTAAAAGGCTTATTACTCTCAGCTTACATTCGATGGAAGTTTTTTGTATTAAAAAAAAAAAAACAAAAAAAAACAGAAAGAAACGAATGACGACTAAAGTACGAATTAGCGGAGACGGCAATAATCACGAAGCAATTCGTACGAAAAATTAAGCATGTTGCCAAAGCTAAGCATTAGCAGCTGGCAAAAGCGAATTGGTAGACGTCAAAATTAAACAAAGACAACAAACTATATGCATAAAATTATAAGAAAAAATTCAAAGTGACGAACAATAAGCCAAAGAAGAAGCCATAAAGAGCAAAAATGACGAAGGAGAATAAGTATTAGCCGTAACATAACACGTATGAAATTAACTGCAAATCAAACACTATAGCACCAAAGTTTTGCAATGAACCCACTTAAGAAACATTGAAACTGTACAAGTAGAGGATGGAACAAGATTACAGCACAAAGAAGCTGTATTAAAATAAAGTGATTTTGTGAGAGATGAAAAGAACATTTAAACAGTGGGATACGCGGAAATTTCGAATTAATTTTTTCTTTTTATTTCTTAGATTTTTTTGATGAACCGGTGCGAATTACGACATCGCTGTTGAGCCTGAACATAGTCGTCAATGACCAATGAAAATTAATAAGTAGGTAGACTCTATTTAATAGGTACATATTTCCAGATCTCATTTGTTTAATAAAAATATTATATACATACATACATACCTAACCGGTATACACCAAATACTAATACTTAATAGAAATATGTGCATGAAAATACTTGCTCAATGTTTTAATATTTTTAAATGAGTTAAAAATTAATAAACCCCACCTTTTTTCACTAAAATGTTTGATGTAACGTTGCTAGCTGTTTTCTACGTTTGCACCAAAAAAAAAACTACCAATGCTTTCCACTAAATGTATAACTTTTTAATTTTTTATTTTTGCACTTTATAAGTATTATTACGAAAATTCTTCACTTTCTCCTCGTTTCGGTTTTATGCACTTTAAGTTTTTATAAAATCGACTTCTAGTAAATAGCTTTTAACTTCTATTTGGCGTATGAGTGGGGAGTTGCTTCTACCAACACTTTTTTTTAGCTACTTTACGTTATGTATTTTACGTTATGTTATTTTTTTCTTATTAAACTTACAATTTTACCTAATTATAGCTCCTATTTAGTACTTTAACTTCGATAGTTAGTTCTTTTATTGCTCTTCGAATTTCTTGTTTTACTCCACTTAAGTAGCTTTCGAAAAATCTCCCTTCAATGGTTTTTGTTTTCTTCACGCGTTTCCCATCTGCCACTTCGATTTGTTGCTGCTAGTTGATGTTGCCGTTGTTGTTTATTTTTTCATTGTCTGCTTTGATCGGTGTTTCATGGGTGTTGCAAAACGCTTTCTCTCTATTGCACGTTGCAAAAATTTTCACCTCGGTATCTGTTTTCTTCAATTTTTCACTGACTTTTATTGGCGGTTTTGTTTTGTTTGTAGCTTTCTTCGCGCACACGCATATGTAAATACATAAAACCGTATGTACATATGTATGTAAGTACGTAAAAACTCACTCACCTCACTTTCTATGTAGGTATATTTTCCATACACGCTAACACTTATATGGACTTTATTTCATTTTGACTTTTCTCCCGTTTTGTCGATAAGAAATAAATACTGCAAAAGCAACAACACAAAAACACTATTGATTTGAGGTTTCGCAAAAATTGTATCTATGAGATACTTTCAAAATGTGAACACGCTACTAAATATGTATTCGCATGCAGGTATAGCAGCAGGTAAGCAATAGGTTTAACTGGATTTCAGCTTCTATGCGTCGCGCCGTGATGAGGCAACCAATTGGGCAATAATTTTGTTTTTTGTACGAGTATTAGTTGCCCACAGCCATGAGTTGGCTGACTGGTGGCTGGTTAACTGGTTGGTTATTTGCTTGTTTTGCCACTTTGCGCTGGCAATTTCTATGCAAACACACGCACACATATGTAGGTAAGTTCATTTATACACTCGCACGCTCATAGATACACGCGCGTTCAATTGCACCTGTACACCGTTCGCTCGCGCAAACACACACGCATATCGTCGTCGTCGCTGCTACTGCTGCGAAAAAGCACACGCGTCGTAAATTTTTGCGAAAATTCGTCTACGTTGGGCGTTTGACCGCAAATATAATTTTGTAGATTTTTTCACTTTGCTTTCAATAATTTATTTTATTTTTTATTAGCGCAACGGAATATTACTGCTAAATGCAAACGAAACCTATTGAATGTGTAATTTTCGACTTTGATTTCGCGCACTGGCGTGCAAACAACTTTTAATAACAAAAATGCATATATTTTTCCTCCGATTTCTATTCAAGCACAATTGAAATACATACGTCTATACTACGTACCTATTCGATTGCTTGCAAATAAGTAATTCCGCGCACTCTCTCTCTCCCTTTCTCGCTTTAGCTCTCGCTATAGCAATGGCTATGTAGCTCTTTCCGCTTGCACTTCACCACCGCGGCACTTTGTGGGCACGCACTCGCTCATTCACTACACATATGCGCCATTGTTATTGCTACTTTGGCACACGTATTAATAGAAAATCGACTTTTCATTAAGTGGTTGTTGCTATTATTGGTTATTTTCATACGATGTTTTCGCGAACTGTGTAATAAATATACTCTGGCTTTAAAAACAAAATTAAATTTCATTAAATTACGTTTCCCGAACCGTATGTTAATCGCTTTGAATGTATCAGAAAACCCGTCTCGTTGTGTTTAGTATAGATATAACACTTCATTCGCGTTAGTAATTTAAATTATTTGTGGAGCAGCCGCACACTAAAAGAGTAACTTTTCGACTAAAATTTCAACACCGCATTTTTCGCACAGCTAACAACGAAGCTCATCGTTACTTACATTACTGCCGATGCTGCTGCTGCGACTGCGACTGAGGTACTCGTTGCTGTATGCACACTGCTGCCTTTGCTGCTGCTGCTGCTGCTGCTGGCGCTGCTACCAAACTGCCCACCTTGCTCCACACCCACTCCCCAAACACACAAACTGGCTCTGCTTACCCAACAACGGCCTTCGAAGCTGCGCTCACTCACTTGCTCGCTCACTTACTTGGGGCTTTGTCGTGTTGACGAGCGAATGTACCTATATACATATGTATATTTACGTACATACATACATCCATCTTTACGTTCGGAAGTTTGTTGATTCATGGATTTTTCTTTTGATGAGTCGCTGTGCGCTGCGCCTGCTTCTTATTTTATTTCTATTGTTTTCATTTATTTCTTCTTATGCTCCCAACACTTACAGTGCTCTCAGTATCCACTCAGTTTTGTTGATTTCTATGCGCTACGCGCAGCCATGATTACTGAAATGCAATCTTATTTTGCTCTAACCCTCTTCTTTGTGTTGCAGTTTTGACTCAAGCGCCATATGTTGACGGCAGCAACCCCCTCTCTTGGCCCCCCGCCCCTAAATGTTTGTTTATGCTCTCCGCTGGTGTTTCTCGTTATAAAATGCATTGTTCAGTTCGTATAACACTTTGGCGTGCTGCAACATTTGAACATGGTAAAAATATTTTCGCAACATGTTGCTAAAGAGAATGTGTATATGCAAAAATTTGTATACCGGAAATACTTGGAAATCCACACTAGCGGAATTTTTAAGACTCTGACATACATATGTACATGTAGACATGCGCGAGTACCTTTAACGGTATTCCCTCCACTTCCACTGTTTGTTGAGAAATTCACTTTCACATTGCAACATTTCTAGAATTTTGAAAAAACAAACACATTTTACCACGGAAATTTGAAATATGAGAGATTTAGTTTTTTAATGAAATCAATAGTGGAAGGAAATATCTAGCCACAGAAGGCTTGGAAAGGAAGATGGGTTGTAGGCGGCCTGTGTTATTAAGTGTTTCATAAAAGCTAATATTGGTATTCTATGATCGACTGTACGCGGAAACCAACCCTTATTGAAAAGTGTGGAGCAGAAAGAGAGAGAAAAAGCATCAGTGAGCCCTACATCAACATGTCATCGCATGGCTTGGGAGCCACCACGAGAAACCATAATTGATGTCCTGGCGACCTCTACTGCAGGTGGCATGTAAAGGAGCACAAATTCGGTGGTATAGTGAAAGACTCCGTCGCTCAGTACTAATGCTCGCCCCGGTGAACAAGTTCCTCGCCACAATTTGGGACCCGATACATGGTAGTCTGCAGCACCAAGCTCCAGCATAAAAACTCTACAGAAACAAAGCTGTTTCTCGAAAATCGAAAACCAGATGGAACATGTTGTGATGGACGCAAGTCACGCTACCGAAGACACAAATTCGGACTCGGAACACTATATTTTGGAGCCAAAATTCGCATTCACCTCTGCGCTGGAGAGCTCGCAGTGTTCTTTGATAACATTTCGCAATGTGACACGTTCTCTGCGTATTGCCGTCATATAGTTATCGGATTTCGGCGAGACTAGCAACACAAATAGTACTAGGTACTATGTGCTTTGCTTTATAAAATCAATAGGAAACAAAAAAATCTCTTCTCCTGGGCTACATCTCGGATTTGAGAGAGCCCCATGCTGGAAATGGAGAAAGAAAGAGAAAATTCTACCAGAAAGTTTCAAGAATTATTGAACTGTTTCAGGATTTTCGGGACAACTTCGGGATTTTCGGAATTCTCGGGACAATATTGGTATATTTGGGGCTAGATATGTATTTCGGAATTTTTGGGAGTACTTCAAGATTTTCGGGACTATTTAGGAATTTTCGGGAATAAAATTCATCCGTGATTTGCTTCGCTGAGTTGAGATAAGGTGAGTTTAGGTGGGGTGAGATAAATGAAAGGTACCTAAGGTTTTAATTGCTTTAGTTGTTCCTAAACCATAAAGAATTTAATTTGAAAATATTTAGCCAATAGCTTTGCTGGGAGTATTTTGCAAGTTTAAAGTATGTGCCTGGGGACTGAGATCAGAGTACTACTTTGAGTGCAGAAGTACTATAGTATGCCCATCACTGGCTATAATCTACTTCTGGATGCTTCGAGTAGAAACGAGGAGGACGACAACATCTGGTGGCCTTTGGAGTGTTCAAGAGATACACACATACATACTTAGGTACATATATGTTCGTCTGTGCATTTGTGACCGCAAGTATCGCTTACGATGGAATAATGCGCTGCATGTTTACAACGCATACATATAATACAGCAAATCAATTTAGAGCAACTTAGCCGGCTAATGCCGAATTTCCACTGGGCATTGAAATTACAAAAAATGTATGCCACTTAAAAAAATGCCATGTAGAAATGAACTTAATGACTATTTTCTTAGCGTATTGACACGATTATTTTTGAATGCCCAACTTTGTCATTTGTCATTTTTGCCATTGAATGCCTAGTGGACATCCAGCATAAGCCATGTCGTTTGCTCCAATATCTGAGGCGGTACTGGCCAAAATAGAGAGACACTTGACTTCCTCGATGTTTTTGGCAATTCTTGGCTATAAACTTCCACAAAAATGCAGCAAATCATTTTCATAGTAATTTATTTTGCATGGAAAAATTTCTCATAAAATTGTACAGCAACATTTTTAGTAAGCCAACTGCAACAATTATCTATCTAAATAATATACCTACGCATTTATTTTATGTAAAGCATTTACTCAATAATAATAAAACATTTCCGATATTAATATTCGCGCTTTATGGTGGATTAGCACATTCACCCACAAAATTACATACACCCCTGCAATTTGATCGCTAAACTAAAGCATTCAACAATTAATTATGCTCACATCCAATTCTACTACGTATGCATAAGTATGTATACTCGTACATATGTACATACTTATGTAAGTACTTATTTTGCGCCGCTGGATAACAATTAAACACAAATTGATTACAGCATTCGAGATTAGTAAATAATACTCGTAACTTTATTTCATTGTGTGATTTCCGCGCCAGTCATCGCAAAATGACAATAGCTTGAGTTTAGGTATTTTCAGTCATAATTTCACACTTTGCAAACAAAAATAATGGCAACACCACTAATTATTTTGTGATAAAGAGGAGGCATATGACGAAACAATGGGCGCAATAATCAAGATTCATGACCAACAAATTATGACAATCAAATTGGCTTTGCCGCTAAGTACTTTTTTGTTTTCGCCGGCAGTTTATTTTAGCAATAAAAGTAATTAATCATAGCACATGACGAGTTAGCTGACAGTTGATTGTTGTGGCCATGGTTTAGGAAGTACTTTAGGTTGTCGTTTTTCGTGTGCGGTATTCGCCGTTGGCAACGCGCAAAGTCCCTTAAATCTTATGGAAACCACAGTAACCTATATGATCAACTTAAAGCGGCGATGTGCACCGCCTTGCCCGCGGGCAAAGCTCTTTTAAGCTCTCTCTGCTCATCGCTGACTTAAATCGTTTGGGTCGAGTTACGTCGAGAGAGAACTTTACTTATCAATTCCCTACTCACTCCAAAGTAGCACTCCGTTAGATCACAAGGTTGACATTACAGTAGGTTGATGCTGCTTCCTAAGCAAACGACGACCTATACTTTCGAATTTGAAATCGACAAATAGATGGTGGGGTTAATACTATTTTCGCGCGGCTCTTTTCCAATATTTAGCGTACGATGAATACCTGACCCATGGTGGATTTAACAGGTCTAAAGGCTCAATCAATCTTGAAACCTTCTGTAAGAGGTCTAATTTTTGTGCATTTTCCTGTCGACCAGCATTTCAAGCTCTGCGGCTCACTCGTTCTCTTACGAGAAATATATACGTCACGCTTACCTCCTTGGCTCCCTAAATCGATCCTACATTACACCTACGAAACTTTACCCGTCATACCTGTCTTTTAGGTAATGCTGAAATACGACTAATTCTTGTATTTCGACAGGGGTGCGTAATGAGCGCAAAATGTGGTTCCACTGCTCGCAAACCTATGTCGGTTTGTTGAAGAGTGCGCTTGGAGAGCAAGTAAGAGAGTGGGGTGACGATTGTGCTGACTATATAGGAATGCAAAAAAAAACTCGGCTTTTTTCTAATTTTTTTTTTTTTTAAATAGTCAATGGCTGTTACTCCTTCTTGGCATAGATTTTTTTATTTAATTTCTTAAGGACATTGGTGGTACAGAGATTATGCCTGAGAGGACCCCTATGAAAATTTTCAGAATAATAATTCTCTAGAACATGTTAATCCTCTCACGACGTTGCAAATTTGCTTTTTGAGGGGTTTATGAAGTAAGGGTCAAATCGACCCTTTCAGACGTAAGCCGATTGATTAAAATGAAATTATACTACATACGTCTTAACCTTTGCAGCCTATTCCCTCCAAAAGCTTAACTGCAGTTAAAAGGTCACAGAAGTTCAAATAATTCCAAAATTGGGTAATCGGAAAGTTTTTTTTCTTAAGTTTTGTTTTTTTTCCTGTCGTTTGCTTCTGCTTAATAGGTGGAATTACCACTTTCGAGTTGTAATGTCCGCTTTTCAAATGCTCATTCGCTCAGACATTTATTTTAACCACTTACTTCACTTTTTTCAAAACTACTTAGGGCGGAACATGAAAACTTTAGTAGGTCAAAAAATACAAGTACAAGCTAACTTTTGGAAATCCATAGAGTGCTTTATTACTGGATAGGTATGCTTTCAGAAAATGTTATCACAGTGCGGGCTGGTTTCCGCTGTCGCACAGTGTTACATAAGTAATGGATTCGTATGAATATACCTCAGCAGAAATAAAACGAAAGAATTTTAGCCGATGCCCTTCGAACATCTGCTCCGTAACCTGTGTTTTTAAAATACAATTTTTCGAACTTAAGACATTCAATTAGCTATGCAGTACACCCATGTCAGCACGCCAGCTGATGAATTTATCAATTAAATATATCGATTTGCCAATTGATAGGCATCAATCAATTACAACTATAAACCCGATTGAATTTACAACAAAATAATAATAAATTTCATTTACGCAGCCAAGTAAAATAGCCGTAAGCAATCACCTTTTCCTCACAAGGGTATCCAACACACACACAGACACACTCACATTTGTATGTAAATTCTTAGTCAAGGACTTCACCGATCATTTAATTTCATTAAATTATCTTACGGTGAAATTCAATTACTCGTTAAATATTTATGCAACGTTAAAATTCTTATTTATTTTCCTTTATCTGATTTATAAATGCAAATATGCATGCGAAAGGACAAATTATTTCCAACGCCAGCAGCTAATTGAGCTATTTTGTGGATGTCAATATTATGCCGTACTCAAAAAGAGATAGGTTTTTGTGGCAAATTTAAAATATAATAAAACGAATTCATTTTATGTTGA